TAAATTTTGACCTCAATTGTGGTCATAAATCGAGGATTACTTATAATGGCATACATTTTCCCCTTAAACTTGCATATTCAAGATAGACAAACTAGAACCTCTGCATCCCTTTCCCTTGCAACATGTGGTACTGCTTATCACCATTATGGCTAAAAATCTGTGAAACACCTTTATCTCATTTTGAGACAGAAAAAAACCCAAACCTTTATAGGTTTCACTGTAAAATAAAGATTTCTTTCCCGCCTCAATCTGGAAATTCTAGTTTAGTCTCACCAATGACTACAACACAGCCCTTTTTATAAGATTTATTGATTGACTGATTTATGCCCACTGCAATAGAAAACTGTGGACATTTAGAATATGCCATCCAACGGGCTATAGGTGTCCAGAAGGAACTATAATGGCAGACTCCAAAACAATGGCCACATTTAATATGCTGCAAGGCTTTTGACAGAACCCTGATTAAGAGCACATCTGTTCCAATTTACCAGTATTGCATCTCTAATGAAGAAGATGGGAGTGTTGTTCCCTACAAGATCCCAATTTCCATCTTCAGTGTAGAATTTCATTGCAAAACCTCGAGGGTCACGCACTGTGTCAGCTGAGCCCGATTCTCCAGCTTAAAAAAAAAAATTAAAAAAAAGTCCCATGAGTAAATCCTATGCACATAGTTAATACCTTGACCAACTTTTTCTATGTATTTACATACTGCGGAATCAATTATAATCCATATAATTGATGTTTAAAAGAGAACTACAGAAACAGAATTCCACCGAAGTAATTTAAATTTCAGGGGGATAGCCGGAGGTTTGGATGAGATGACTTACAGAAATGGACAAATTACTGGAATATTATACTTTAAATTTAAATAATGCACAGAATAAATTCACTGAGTGCATGTGGGAAAAACATATATGAACTACTGATTAAATTAATCACATTTATTTCATTTCTGTAAATTTATTAGGGACGGCTACTTCAGGAGACTCTAGAGAGCTTACAAAATGGAATGCCAAATTAAAACAATTAGAAAATAGACAAGACAAAACAGCACAAAATAAACGTAACATTTAAAACAAGCTGACAAATATTATTATAAATTATACAAGTAGTCCTTAACTTACAACCATTCATTTAGCAGCCATTCAAAGTTACAACAGCATTTAAAAAGTGACTTACAACCAGTTTTACACTTATGGGACTGTTGCACTATCTGTGATCAGAATTTGGGTGTTTGGGCAATAACCATGTATTTAGGATGTTTATAGCATCCCAGGGTCATGTGATTGCCATTTGTAATCTTCCCAGATGGCTTCTGATGGCCAAAGTCAATGGGGGAAATCTCAATTCGCTTAACGACTCGTGATTCACTTACCACAACAGATTTGCTTAACATTGCACAATTGGTCATGGCTCATTGAACAATTTACCTTGTTTAGTAAGGAAAATTCTGGTACCAATTGTGTTCATAAGTCAAGGACTACCCATATGTCATTAGTCTTTTTCAAATGCATGCAGAGATAAATATGCCTATGTTTCTGCTATTCATAAAGCCTGCTCAAGAATACACAGCTATTAACCCTAAGATTCTACTAAAAAATTAGGAAAATATAAGGAATCAACATTTCATATTAAAGATGTTATTTATTAAATGACTTATTGCCCAGTATCAATTAAAAACAGCACATAAACATCCACTAAAATAGATTAAAATGTGTTTTACACACACACACACACACTGTTGACCCGGACTTAGGGGACAGTATCAATTGTGAATACGTGCAGATGGCCCCGCTATCTCTGGCCACTTGCAGAACCATGAATGCAAGGTCATAAAAGGACAGCATAGGAAACACCCAATATCCTAACCCACCCGGGAATATATGGTGTCTTGGGGGAACACCCCAAAGGGAACATTTTTAGCTACTTCTGCTTTCTTCCTTCTTATCCACAGTGTGCTAGTCTTAAAGGGCAAAGTCTTTATCTTATGTGTGTCAGCTTTGCTGGGTGAATTGCTTACGTAATCAAAGAAAGTATAAAAATAAGGCTTTTCTGATATTTGGGGCTTTTTCTCTCTTTTAGAGAAGCCCGTCTTTGTTCAGCTGAATAAAAACGTAGAGCTTGAAGGCAACTTCTGGTTTCCTGTTTTCCTCAGAATCTGCACAGCAGCACACACATACACACATTCAATGAAACACCTTTATATATGAAGCAAATAAAGAAGATACACTGAAAATCTGCAAGATCCTTACCAACAGTTGAAAATCGAATAGCCATTGGCGTTCTTTTGCCTATGTGCTCAAATATCTTTGCTTTGCAGAATTTGGTGATATCATGAGTCACTTCAAAAAAGCCAAATGCTCCTGAAAAATGAAAAGGGTTATAGTTTATTAAAATTTAAAAAAGATTGTTCCAAAATTCATAGTTTTGGAAGGAATATCAGTTATGGTAGATGAAGCAGAAGATAATGTTTTCATTATTAGCATAAAATGTGTAGATATAAGTTGCTGATAATTTTTCTGAAAATGCTGATGGTTACTATAAATATAGCAGTTCCTTTTAACGGAAAGAGTCTCTGATTCAACTAAGGATTTTGCTAACAAAAAGGAATCAACTTTGAACATCAAATGGACAACATATTAATTTAATCAATCAATCAATCATTAATTTTTCCTTATTTTCCTCCTCTCACATTTATATCACGCGTACCAGTTATTTTATCCTGAGCCATTGCACACAAATGGACTTTCCAAATTGAGCAATTTCTGAATATTTATGCATGTAGCTTTTCATTCTTTATTAGATTTGTATGTAGAAAAGGTGCATTAAATGTAAGAAAAAAAAAACCTAAATTAAACATTAAAACCTGATAGTGAAACTATGGCTACATCAATAAGACATTCTGATTCGTAAAAGTGTTTCTGGAGTAATAAATGCAAAGTAATTTTTCTCTGGAGAATTCTTATTGTTGCATTTTTGTTTACAAATTCTGAGAAAAATGTTATGAGTCAATTAAAAGTTGACAAGTAACACAATTAAACAAGGATTCAGTAGAATATATTTAGAAAAAAAATGCACTGTGAAAGAAAAAGTGAAAAAAGTTATAAAAAAGAACTCTTTCTCAAACCTTAAAAGAACATTAATCTGATTCTAATATTTCCTGGTTACTTCTGTTTACAAATGTAAGAGCCATGCAATTAAGCTCAATTTTAACACTTCAGTTTTTTAAAGAAAAAAGTATCAATAAGCTAAATAAATTCAGCAAAGGTACATAAAAACAAGACAAAAGGTAACAATTTCAAATGTCTCACAAGTGGATAGATTATAGATAATTCAAGCTCCTAATGAAGAAAATCAGTAGCAGAAATCAATGTTGCTATAAGGACTATCATTAACTCAACTGTACTGTACAAGCATCACAAAATAAAAATAAATTCCTGAATAGAATGATTAAAC